CAGATAAACACACGAGGTAAAAATCTGGATTCTCAAAACGATTTGTATTTGGTTTCTAGTTATTACCCAAAATTGTTTATAAACCCTATTAACGAACAAGGTCGATATCCTACAAGATTATAAGTGTAGTATAAGACCTTAATGTATTAATTTAATCATCCAAAGGTTTGGATACTAACCTTGAATGGCTTTGGAAGGTTAGAAAGACCGGTTCGCCGGAAAACACCTTTTTGGAAGGTTTTGATGTTTATACAATTTTTGGTTTATGAAACCTTGTTAGGTCTTTTACCAAAATATTCTAGACTTCTCAAGGAATCTAGGAGTGTCCGGAAAAGTCATCAGAGACGCCGGAGTTTTCGCCGGAAAATTCCGAAAGTCGCCGGAGTTCAAACAAAGAGGATAAAAGCTTGATAGCGTCATTTCGAGGTGAGTGGACGACTACTTGTCTTGTAACTCTTGGGTCAAACGTGGGATTACCTAAATAAAATCATAACCATGATTTGAGAAATGAGTAAATGTATTAAAATGCATGATTAGTCATGGTGAATATGGCTAATGAAAAAAAATAGATTGATTTATTAATTAATCATGAATATATTTTTCTCAAATATACAAGAAGGTATATTTGGACCATGTATGAAACTAACTAGACTTATCTAGTACACGAATATATGAATAGACTTATCTAGATTTGTGATTATCCATATTAAATATGGATTATGAAAGTATTATATGATTAATGAAAAATAGATTAATTTATTAATTAATCATGAATATATTTTCTTAAATGAATAAGAAGGTATACTTGAACTTTGTATGTGATTAATTAAATCTCAAGTGTTACAATCACCCCCACTTAGGATCGCAACGTCCTCGTTGCACCCTTAAACAAATCTCAATCACACCCCAGAATCTTTTTCCCCTGCTAAGTGCCCGCCCGATATCCAACGGATCAGCACACTATCGCAGGGTTGCTCTGATACCACCTGTAACACCCCGGCCCCCCAGGACCCGAGGTAGTTACTCCAGACCTCTAGTACTGTCCTCACAAACCGCCACTAGCCTTTTACGCGCACTTTGTCCTCACTCGTGCGCGCCCTGAGAAACTTCCCAGGGGGTCACCCATCCCAAGACTACTCCTGTGCAAGCACGCTTAACTTTGGAGTTCTTGGCTAATGAGCTCCCTTAAAAGGAGATGCACCTTGTTGGTATGAGTAGTACTATTAATCCATTTATATTAAATCTCAAGTGTTACACACGTGCTAGGCTGTTTTGAAACTGTGTGATGTACTCCTCAATTGGACGGCCTTGTTGTTTTAGATTTGTCAAATCCCCTAATGGATTTGCACCACCAGGGGGACCAAATCTGTGGGTGCAGTAATCTCGAAAAGATTCCCAAGAGATATGGGGCTGGTCTTGGCGTAGATGGTGGTACCACAACTGAGCATCTCCAGTGAGATAGTAAGCAGCCATAGAGACTCGTTTTGCAGGGGGAACGTTCTGATTCATGAAGAATAACTCACAACGATAAAGCCAACTGAGTGGATCTTCTGTGCCAGAGAAAAGGGGAAACTCAAAATGTGATCCAGGAGCAGTAGCCATGTGATTCATGTTGTCAGGTGCATGTACCACGGCCTGATCAGGATTGGCAGCTTCTGTTGTTGCAGTTTTACCTCCATCTGCAAGTAATTTTTCCATCAGTTGTTCAAGGCGATCTATGGATTCTTTCAGATTGGATACTTCTTCCTTTGACGCAAACACCCCATCGCCCATGACGCCGGCAACGGAACCAATGTTACGGGCAGCTTGTGTATAAGATCTCGTCACAGGCCTTCGGGTGAGTGGGAGGGTAGACAGAGCTTTGGAAGGGTTGGCTATGTTTACTGTTTGGGCAGAAAACTAAGAAGAATATAATTATGCAAACTTTTATCAAGTTGGAATTTTTTGTTGAGAATTCCAGAAACTCCCTCAGACTTTTCTTGCTAAAAACTTGCATGCTTTTTCCCTGCATTCAACTGGCCTTTAAATAGGCTTTACAGAGCTTGGAAAATAAAATAAAGAAAACAATTAAACAGAAAACAATAATTCAAAGATTGCAATCAGAAAATGATATCTCAAATCTCTAAGGATCTCAAATCCCTGACAGTGACATGTCTATCAGATTTGTTTGATTTATTTGTCTCCCAGATTTGTTTGATTTTATTTGTCTTCCAAATCAGTTTGATTTGCCATTGTGATTTGCTGACTTTTATCTTTCTTTCTTTTACGGTGATACTGACGCCCTGTGAATGCATCACATTCTCTCAGATGTCTCATTCATCTCTCATCATAATATTTATCATTAATATGGAGTACTTGATATAGTTGAAGCTTTCACATTGTCCACCAATACAAGTCAATGAGAGGAAATTGAATTATAAGAGATTAGAATTTCTTTCTTCTAGGCATCAATTCGTGCAGTGGTCTCGCAAGGTTATTCACTTGGGCTAAATTATCATCTTAACAAGCTAAGATTCTATTTTCATGTTTTTCTTTCTAATGTTTAGATTTGACATATGTGAAAATTCCATTCTGATACTTGGAAGTTCTTATGATGGTCCCGGATAGAGGTAAAAGTCTAGAGGGGGGGTGAATAGACTTTTATAGCTTTTTCGTCTTTAAGAATATTTCCCTTCTAGATGAGTTGATCTATAATCTTTTGGGAGATTAATAGATGCACAGCGGAAGTCTTTAACCTCTAGAAACTCAGTTTAAGATAACTTTCTAGTCTGGGTGATGTTTAGACTAATTATGGAAGGGCAGTAGGCTTGGCAGTTGGATGATGGGTAGGCGACTGCTGAGGCAACTGCTGAGTTGGCAGTTAGCTGAAATGCAGGAGACTACTGAGGCAACTGCTGAAAACTATTGAGTGTTTGAAGGAGGTGATGATGAAATGTTGCTAAGAATAGTGAGGGCTTTTGAAAATGTGCTTTAGTATATGTAATCAGAAGTTTAGCTGGAGCAGTGGTCTTAGTAGTTGATTGGTGATTAGGGCACTGCTGAGGTGCCTGCTTGGTTTAGAAGATGAATTTCACAGAGCAGTTTGGTCAACTTCCTCTTTCGTAATGTTATGAAGGTCCAGTGATGTTGGGATGCTTAAGAAAAACAAGTGTTTGTGAGCAGAGGGCTCAGCAGTTGGATGGACACTAGGGGACTGCTGAGGCACCTGCTATACTTGAGAATGAATTTCTGTAAAATGACCTGATAGGCCTTTTAGTTTTATTTGTATACGTTTCTTGTAAGAAAAAATTCTCAAAGAAAGTAAGTAATTAAGCAGTAGGATAAGCAGTTGGGTCTGTTAAGGCAACTGCTTAAGATGCTGCTGGCAAACTCCAATCTTTTTGTGAGAAGTGTTGGTTGTGTGCTTTGTTGACTAAAATAAAATCAACACATGATGTATCCTGGTTCAGAGGTGGTGTAATCCTCCTACGTCCAGTCCCACCCTCTTTCAGATGGATTTCACTAAAGTATTAAGCCCAATACACTTAGTGTCAATCCAGCCTTTACAACACTTAGGCCTAGATTGAAGGTTTTTCACAATGAGTATAGCACCACTCAAGGTTACTCAGTCCTTAGACTTTTTTCTATTGAACCAGTGGGGTTCAAAAGGTACTCTTTTCTATCTAACTGCACTTTAGGATCTGAACAACCGTTCTCCTAAGTGTTTACAACAACTTGTGATTACAAGAAAGTTCTAACCTCCAACTATGAACTAAGCTCTTCAAATATGGCAGTTGTTAATCTAATCTTAGAGCTTAGTGAAGCATGAGTCTAAGCAGAGAGCAAAGTTGAATTGGCACTTTCTCTTTTGCTTGATAGCTCGTGAATACTTAGAGTGATTACTCTACTTAGAAGACTCAAAAACTTGGTTTTAGAACTCATGCCTATGCCTTCTTTTATAGGCTTCTCCAGTAGGTTGATCTCCTCCGTTGGTTGAGAGGATTCAATCCTATTCGCAGAATGAGGTGTACTCTTGTTCACTTGTGCTGGAGCTGATAATGGAAATTTCCTTTGTCTTGACTGATTAGTAGCTAGAAGATCAAGTCAAGGATCAATCTTCACGATTTGGTGTGTGCGACCCATCTTCTTTGGTCTTCGTACTGTTGAGCATTTAATGCTCTTCTTGTCTTTGTCTTCAATCATACACATGCAGTGTATGTGTGTGTGTTTGTGCCGTGTTCTATTTTATTATGTACCAAATGAATTTGTACTGGTAGGATCAAAGTCTCCTTCTAAGGTAAACAAATTTTACCTTATTGTAATTATTAGTTTCCAGTAAAATTTATTTGGTACAGAATTTATTTTGTCATTTCTTGATCAGCTGATTATGTGACTTGATAATTTTATGTACTAAATAAATTTATACTGGTGGGATCTGAATATCCTTTTAAGGTAAAAATTTACCTTATTGCATTTTAATTTTCCAGTAAAAATTTATTTAGTACAAAAATTGTACATTTTAATTAGTCACAGTTTTGAGAACCTGATCATTCTTAATTTAGTAAGAACACAGGGCGTAATTACTTTTAGTATAGTGGCATCATCAAAATCTTATCAAAATTGGGTACTAACAATTTCCCCCTTTTTGATGATGCCAAAACTATACTAAGCAGGGAAGAATTTTTCTTTATTAAAATTAGAATAGTTACAAGTGTTTTGCTATTACAGTAGTTTATAGTCATTCTCGGACTTATGATTAAGTTTTACTGAGGTGGCCTGTCTTCTTCTTCTTTCTTCTTGGCTTCTTCTTTGGCTTTAGCCTCTTCTGCTTTCCTCTTTCTGATTTCAGCTTCTTCTTGTAGCATCTTGTTCTTCCTTCTTGTCTCAGCTGCCTTCTTTGCTGCTAATTGTCTTTTGGAGGGGGGTCCTTCTGAGGTACCTTCCCCCTTTTTGGCATCATCAACATCTTGAAATAGGGCTTCAATTTCTTCATCTGATATTGGATCTTCATGTCTTCTTGTAGGCTGGATACCATAGACCTTGATAGACATGGCATTGAGAGTGTTGTTGATGTCCATGAGGTCGGTTTTCACGTCTATTCGAACTTCTTCTTCTACTTTCTGCAGAATCCTTTTTGTTGTTTCCACTTCTTGACTCAGTTGTTGGATATCAGCCCCCTGCTTCCAGAATGTTTCTTGAGTGGACTTATGAAGCTTTTTGAAGTTCTCTGCTATGTCATTTGTGAGTTGCTCAAATGATTGAGCATGAGCTTCCTGTCCTTTGAGAAGGTTGTATGAGAATTTGTACATCGCTGGGAATTCCTCATTTCGAAACTTGTTGAGATATGCCTCATGCTCTTGTATCTTTTGAAGTGCCTGCTCAATATTAGGCGGAAGACAAGGAATGGAAGATACCTGAGCAGAGGTCTCTGCTGCAGCATGAAAGGCATCTTCTCTTGCTTGTGCTTGTTGAAGTGTCAGAATCTGATTTTCTAGCTCCTCATCTTTAGCTCGAAGTTCTGCGAGGGCTTTGTGGATTGCCTCTAGCTGAGCAGGTTGATTTGCAAGCTGAATTTGAAGTTGAGCCTTTTGCTCAGAGTTGAACACTTGTTGTATCATTAGGTTGCTTCTGATGTGCCTGTGAACCTCTGTGAATCTTAAGTCAAGGAGATCATCAAAATGCTTCTTCATTTTGATCAACCGCTTGTGTAGTCTCACCTCAGCATTACTGATGAATTTGATGGTTGCCCTTCTTTCGTTGATGAAGACCTCTGCCAGTGTGGGGGTGTCCTCTTCTCCATCATGGAGAATTTGATCTTTGAGATGATTCGATGTTGGAGGTTCCTGCTCTGGGATATCCTCTTGATAGGAGTTCATGTTGAGGTTCATTGGTTGAGGCTCTTGAGTAGCAGTCATCTGTTCCTGGGGAGCTTTAGAAGATTCTCCTCCTCCATGAGTTTCCAATCTTGATTTCTCCAAGATTGTTCTGAATTCTTTGTCACTAGAAGAGGAGGAGGAAATAATTTGTTTACCTCTTTGTTTGCTGGGAGGTCCTTTGTGGGCATCACCATCATCATCATCATCATCATCCAGATCATCTGAGTCATCATCTTGGATGGATGTTTTGCCTAGCATTTGTCTCCTTTTGGTGGTGTAGACTAGGTTGATGTGGTGAAGTTTTGTTGCAGTTGCAATGTCTTCAGTGCCTAGCCATCCCAGAGCAAAGTCTTCTTCCTCAATGAAGTTTGATAGGGTTTCAGCTTGCATAAGAATGCGAGAATGCTTCCAATGTCTCCAAGCTTTAACCCTTGCCAATTCTATATTCAGCTGTTCGAGGGGAGTTAGGTTGGGGGAGTCAATGGGTAGTGAGTGAGGTACCTGTTTGTCTAGAGGACCCATCTGCTCATTTTGTTGAGTTGCCTGCTCATCTGTTGGAGCCATCTGCTCATTTAGGAAGATCGTTTGTTCTTCTATAGGATTTGGTTGATCTACCAGATGCTGTATTCTTGGACTGAGAGTGGAGAGGGGTATGGCAGAGCTGTTGCTTGCATTAGATGAGTTGGAAGAGGGCTCAGCTTCTTCTTGAATGATGGTGAGAGGGGAGGCTGCTGCTGCTTCTTCATGAATGATTGGTATAGAGGAGGCTGCTTCTTCAAGTTCTTCCTGTAGATTTCTTGTTGTTCTTCTAGATTTCTTTGCTTTGTCCTCTTGACATCCGGATCTGATCCTTTTTGCGGTTTTGGTGTCAATTTTGAAAGAGATCATGAGTGGATCGTTGGAAAGAAAGGAGTCATCTTCTTTTGGAATAGTTGGAGTTCCTTGCATTGATTTGAGGAAGAGAAATTTTCTCCAGTCTGTTGCAACTTTAACTGAGCAGTTTACTCCTTTCTTCCTTAGTAGTTCTCCAATTAGAAATCCATATCCCAGATGAGGGATTGCTGTAGCATTCTTTCTGTTATGAAAGTCGTTGACATAAGAGATCATCTGGTTGAATACATATCTGGACCAGTTTTGAGGAGACCCTGACATTATGGCTGCTAATGGAGTAGCTCTCTTCTTGTTGAGTTCATCAAGTGCTGTGTTTTTGGAGTCAATGCACTTGTAGAGTATGCTGAGCAGAAGAGCATACTCATGAACCATTTTGTTGGTTTTGAGCTTGAGAGTTTGAGTACTCTGCGCAGATGGTATCAATGCTGTTTCCTTGAAAGTTTGCTCATCAAGCTCATATTCTTCAACCAATGAGAACTCATCTCCAGGAAGTGAGAGCAAGTCTTTGACATCTTCTTCTTTGATTTCCACAGGCTTGCCTTCGATGCTTGATTTGAGTGTATCTTTGGAGGAGTTAAGAAAGAACTCTGCTACTATTCTGGGATAGTAGTTTGGATAGATGTAGGTTGCCATTTTGAGAAGGCCAGTGCTCTCTAGTTTCCTTAGAAGATCTTTCATTAGATTGGAATGATTTGCCTTTTTTAGGATGATTGCAGTGTCAAGAATTGATCCGGTGAATATCTTTTTGGACTCCAAGATGATATCAATGGATGCCATTTGGTGAGAAGAAGGGAATTTGGAGTTTTGATAGCTTTTAAGAAGAGAGCTTTTGAGAGCTTGTAGAAGTGAAGAAGAGTTGCACGTATGAGGTATTTAGTTTGGTGACTTGAGAGTGTATAGAGCAATAGTGAGAGTTTTGAGAGTTTAGAGAGTGAGAGAGTGAAACTGGTGTACGAAGGAAGTATTTATTCTCTATCGGAAACTAGCCGTTGAGTTATAGCCGTTGGAGAAGGCGGCTCATTAACTCATGGCCTTAATTGCATTTACACTCGGAGAAGCAGGCTGCTGCTTTGAGTGTACTTCGTGGAGATAGCAGTACACTGCTTTGAAAAATGCTTTCAAGATTTTTGGTGAATACCTCAGTTTAGAAGTACCAAGTGTGAGTGTGCTGCTGTACTTTCTAGCCTCCTGCTGCAGTTGTATTCTTTAGCAGAGTACTCTGCTGAGACCTCTGCGGAGACTTCTGCTCAGCCATCCTTTTAGTTATTCTTTTGTTTGGACCTTATTGCTTCATTCCCTCTGTGTGAGAGTGTATTTCCTTGAGCTAGCAGCTAAAGGAACAGGAGGCTGCTGTTTCAACTTCCCCCTTAGCAGGTGGCTAAGATTTTCTCTTAGTTTAAGAGTCAGGTTCCCCCTTAATGGGTGAGGGTTCAATCCTTTGTTTGATCAAGATCATCTAACATCCCTAGCTCTTGCCTTAATGCATTGAACCTTGCCTCATTCAATGGTTTGGTGAATATGTCAGCCAACTGCTTCTCTGTGGGAATGTATTCGAGTTTAATGGTCTTCTTCTCAACATGTTCTCTGATGAAGTGATGCTTGATCTCAATATGCTTGGTTCTAGAGTGGAATACTGGATTATGAGTGATTGCAATAGCACTTGTGTTGTCACAAAGTATGCTGATCTCCTTTGTTTCTTCCCCATAGTCCTTCAATTGTTGTTTTATCCAGAGTATTTGAGCACAGCTGCTGCCTGCTGCTATGTATTCTGCTTCAGCTGTGCTTGTAGCAATTGAATTTTGCTTCTTGCTAAACCATGAGACTAGTCTTCCTCCAAGCAATTGACAAGTTCCAGAAGTGCTCTTCCTATCAATTTTGCATCCAGCAAAGTCTGAGTCTGAGTAGCCACATAGATCAAACCCTCCATTTATTGGATACCATAATCCAGAGTTAGGATTGCCTTTGAGGTATCTTAGTATCTTCTTTGCTGCTAGAAGATGGCTTTCTTTTGGCTTGGATTGAAATCTTGCACATACCCCAACTGAGTAGGATATGTCTGGCCTACTAGTTGTAAGGTATAACAAGGATCCAATCAATCCTCTGTAAAGTGTAGGGTCAATATCTTTACCTTCTTCATCAGGAGTTAGACCTTGTGAAGTGTTCATAGGGATCTTCACAGTGGACTTGTTCTCAACCTTGAATTTCTTCATGAGATCTCTAGTGTATTTGGCTTGATTGATGAAGATACCCTGAGGAGTCTGCTTTACTTGTAGTCCCAAGAAATAGTTCAGCTCTCCCATCATGCTCATTTCAAATTTGCTCTGCATGAGAGTTGAAAACTTCTTGCATAGTGCTTGGTTTGAGCTTCCAAATATTATGTCATCAACATAAATTTGGACAAGCAGTATGTGTGGACCTTCTTCAATTTTGAAGAGAGTCTTGTCTATTTTGCCTTTAGTGAATCCATTGTTCACTAAATATTGAGAGAGAGTATCATACCATGCTCTTGGAGCTTGTTTGAGTCCATAGAGAGCTTTCTTTAGTTTATAGACTTGATCTTTCTCTCTGTTGATTTCAAACCCAGGAGGCTGCTCCACATAGACTTCTTCTTCTAGTAGGCCATTTAGGAAGGCACTCTTTACGTCCATTTGGTAGACAGTGAATTTCTTGTGAGCAGCATAAGCAAGGAATATTCTTATTGCTTCAAGTCTGGCAACAGGAGCAAAAGTTTCATCAAAATCTATTCCTTCTTCCTGGCAGTAACCTTTGACTACCAGTCTTGCTTTGTTTTTGATAATGATGCCCTCCTCATTCATCTTGTTTCTGAATACCCATTTGGTTCCTATCACATGTTGATGATTAGGTCTGGGTACTAACTCCCATACATCATTTCTTTCAAACTGATTAAGTTCATCTTGCATGGCCTGTATCCAATCAGAGTCTGAGAGTGCTTCCTCAACTTTCTTTGGTTCAGTTTGTGAAATAAAGCATGAGAACATGGCATCTTTTTGGACTGATGATCTGGTACGCACTCCTTCATGGATGTTTCCAATAATCTGGTGAGTAGGATGTTGATTCAGCCATCTAATGTCAGAAGTTTTATTAATTTGAGTCTGCTGCTTTTCTTCCTCTTCTTCATCACTTTCCTCTTGTAGAGTTGAGGGATTAGAAGTTTCAAATCTGGTACATGATCCTGTTGAATTGATTCCAATAGCCTGCAGTGGTTTATAGTTTGAGTCATCTGCTGGTAGGGGTCTGTTGTTTGAGTCAACTGCTGGCAGTGGTCTCCCATTTGAGTCATCAGCTGGCTCAGG